TTTAAGGTTTTCTATAATTTCGTGGTAAAAAGAAGTTTTTAAATAACTTTGAATATTTTATGTTATAATAGTTTATTCACCTCTAGTTCTTCAAGGTTCTGAGTGCGATCGATTAGTCCGGAGAGCTCGTGTGGTGAGGGACCAGAGATCAAATCCCGTCTGGGGGAAAATATTTTTTGCACTTTTTTCTTTGAACCCAATATTTTAAATATTTTATTTTTATATGTAAATTGTTTTTCATTTTGTTTTCATAATGATACTTTCATAGTTTTTGGGCATTATATTAAATTAATAACTAATTACTCGTTAATTTATTTTTTTATGCAATAAATTTACGGTATTGAACTATATTTTATATTTTATACTTTATAATTTATTGTTATGAAATATTTCTTGGTATGTAGGTACAAGTTCTAATAACTTCAATATGTCAAGAGAAAAATTTCTTGAAATAATGAAAAACTCAGGACACCAAAAATTACAATACCAAATACAAACCCTGCAAAAAGAAATTGAAAAACGGACAGGATATGGTACCGACTCTCAAAAACTTCAGATTTCGAGAATGATAAGTCGTTTTCAATCTGAATACAAAACAAGATGGGAAAAAGCCCACAGAATGGAAGAAAGATTTATTAAGGATAATACAAATTGGTTGAAGTCAAAAGTTTGTTTACCTTCTGTTACACAACAACTTGGAGGTAGACCAAAAATATCATTTGAGGAAAGCACAGAAAGGATGAAACGACAAAAAACTAAAGACTTGAGAAAATCTACCTCTTTACCACAGTTAGTTTTTGCCACACAAATGAAACTGAGAGCTTCAGGACAGACAGACACCTCTAAATTAGTTGGAGAAATTGTATCTGATCCATCAAGAGCTCAAAAGTATATAAATTCCTATAAGCAGTCAATTAAAACCAAATCTATGTCAGGAGATGACGCTGTTGCACTCATAGTAGATGCGCAATTATCACGACATCAATATAACATTATACGATCAAAAGCTCCAAAAATATATCCATCTTATAAAATCGTACAGGAAGCAAAAAAACAATGTTATCCTCAGCCTAATAAAATTTATATTACAGAAACATCGGTGCATGTCGATTTGCAAACCATTCTTGACCTTACTATAGATCGTTTGATTATCACTCTCAAGGATGTAATCCACACTCTTAGTTCTAATGAATTAAAAAAATTGTGTTTAATTTCTAAATGGGGTTTTGATGGCAGTAGTGGTCACAGCTCTTATAAACAAGCTTTTTATGGTATTGAAGCTGATGATTCAGCGGTTTTTATCACATGTATCGTACCACTTCGCTTGCAATCAGGTTCAAAAGTTGTTTGGCAAAATCCTAGACCCGGTTCAACGAGGTATTGTAGACCTTTAAAAATTGCATTTATGAAGGAAAATACCAGAGTTTCCATTGACGAAAAAAAAAGGATGGATGAGCAAATATTAAATTTAGAAAAGAGTAGTATACTTTTAGATGAAAATACTCTCGTTATAAAGCATAACCTTACATTTACAATGATAGATGGCAAAGTCTGCAACGCAGTTACAGGCTCTACTAGTACCCAAAAATGCTACATTTGTAATGCAACTTGCAAAGATTTCAATTTGATTGATGAAATGATTATAAGACCAATTAAGATGGAAAATTTGGAATTTGGTATTTCAATCTTACATGGATGGATTCGCTTTTTTGAGTGTCTGCTTCATTTAGCGTACAAGCTACCATTTAAGAAATGGCAAGCTCGTGGTTCGGACAAAGAGATTGTCGCAGAAACTAAAAAAAAAATTCAAATAGAATTTAAAACAAAACTAGGTTTAATTGTTGATAAACCAAAACCTGGCTTCGGCAATACCAACGATGGAAATACCGCCAGGCGTTTTTTCAAAAATGCAGAGGTATCGGCAGAAATTACAAATCTAGATTTAGATTTGATCAAAAAAATGCATACCATACTGATAGTTGTATCATGTGGACATGAGATTGATATTGAAAAATTCCGAAAATATGCGCTAGAAACACCTTATTATTTTGTGGAAAAGTACCCATGGTACAACATGCCACCCAAGTTGCATAAATATTTAATACATGGACCCGAAATAATATCTCATGCATTATTGCCTATAGGGCAATTGACAGAAGAGGCCCAAGAGGCAAGAAACAAAGATTTTAAAAAGTTTAGAGAACACCATTCTCGGAAATGCAGTAGAACAAAATCAAATACTGACATTTTTAATTTTTTTTTGTTGTCATCAGATCCCGTAATAAATAGTAAAAGAAAGCTTCCACAAAAAAAATTGTCTTCACTTCCCAAAGAAGCTGTAGACTTATTATTACCACCATCAAACCACGATATTAACAATGACCACGAATATGACAGTGAAGACGATGATGATCTTGATGATGACCATGACGATGATAGTGATGACAATGTTGATGAAGACTATGAAAATGTAGATGATACAGAAGATAATGATGATTGAAATGTTAAAATGTATAGATAACTTAATTTCCTATTGTTTGTTAATTTACACATATTTTATATTTATCCACTGAATAATAAATTTACTTTTAATATTGTATAATAATCTTTATAATTATGAAACATTTAATAAAATACTAATATTTTAACTCCATAACATTTATTTAAACTTCTGGGAGTTTTCTACATATTTTCATAATCTTGCCCCACTGTGCGACGGCGAACAATCGATATATCGCATTGGCCGTTTGTAGCGAACTGGTGGGATAGGCGGCCGTGTTAATTGCTCTCGTTCCAGCTAGACGTCGGCGGCTGGTGTCGAGTCGCTCACAAATAAGCACAATCTACATATTATATAATTCGTGCACGACACAATTATAACGAAAATAAACAGTGATATAATGTTCAAGAGCAACTAGGTCTGTGGTGTGCATGTGTGTGTTGATGGTGACAAATATAGGTCGTTGACCTACCTACGTTGGTTTCGCGGTATAGTGGTGCGGTGGCAATTAAACATTACGATATTATCTGGCGTCGACAGCGAGAGACTGGAGATTTACACACAATCACAGAATGTTGAGAATCGCGATAATTACGATTTAATTTATATTTGTCTACCCGAATATGTGCTCATACGTAAAAACGTAAAATCGCAAACTTTGGAAAGATATACTTTCCAAATCCAAAATAATAATTTGCATAATTTTTTCGTTCTTAACTCATCGTTCAAAAACATAATTCGTCGGTTAAAAGGCTATTTGCTGTAAGCGACACTTTTGTTGTAAGCGACACTTGGTACACTTTGGTCGTTGTAGACGACGTTCTATTGGATCCATAGATAGTTTTCATGCAGTGATATCATTATTTTATAATGTGTTATCAATGATCAAACTTTATGCTGTAAGCGACAACATTTGATTTAGGTGACATTCTTATTTATTGAATGAGCAGTAAACGACATAATAATTTTGTGTTAAACGCCCAATAAAAAAATAATGATGTATACGCCATATTGTCGCTTATAACAGTTTAATTTGTCGCCTACAGCATTTTTGTTGTATAAACAAATGCGTGGTATGTAATAGATAAGAAAAAAAATGCGGTAAGTGATATCGATTTTTAGGTTAGTTCAATTTGATAATAATAATCACAGATAATGTAAGGCAGCTGTATAATATTTTGGAGGTAGTATATTATATTTCTAACGATTAAAACCGCCAAATAATTTATGATAATAAATAATAATTATTATATTATTGTTTATATTGATGATAATAATAAAGTAATCGTCAAATTTGTCGAAGAGAACGTGGATGGTGGACCACATAGGATAATATTTTATTATTACCTATTAGTGTTTGTGACATTTAATTCGCTTTTAAGAGGACGCCACACGGGCAAAAATACCGTACAAAAAGATGCCAATTTTGTTCCAATAATACGACTTACTGAATGGTTTTAGAGCAAAATACCTTTATTAAAAGTTGTAGAGGAGAGTTATATCGGGTGCGTGACGAGACTCGAATTTTGATATTTTAATTTTTTATACCAATTATTCACATGTAAAAAAGTGAAAAAAAGTGAAAACGCAAAACGATTTTATCGATTTTGAGAACGAAATATCAAAAATCAAGTCTCGTCACGCACCCGATATAACTCTCCTCTACAACTTTTAATAAAGGTATTTTGCTCTAAAACCATTCAGTAAGTCGTATTATTGGAACAAAATTTTCATGTTTTACAGAAAAAAAATTTAATTGCGGCCGTCATGTGCTGCTGTCGTTTCTAGCGGCAGAGTTTGTCCCCTCCTAGCTCTGACATCCAGGCGCGCTCGCCGATGGCAGGTCAAAACCGGTCTGTTATCGGCGGTTCCCCGCTTCGCCCGTCGTTGCATTATTTTCATATTATCGATAGATCTCGCTAGAGAGCGTTATGTGCTTTACGGCGGCCCGGTGTCGTAGCATTGAGTGAACAGAGAGATATATATACAGGAAAACGGACGATATTTTGATTTTTACATGCAACGTATATGGAGAACGGTCGAATTTACTAGTTTTTCACTTTCGCAATACCGCGTTGAGTTGTGACGATATGCGCATGCGGGAGTGCGTGACCTTGGTTGCACGGCGGCGCGGCAGTGTGGCATACGCGCAACGCGCTTCCTACTCCTATTACTATTTCATTTGCTCGCTAGCCACCCGGCAGCCGTGCTGCAGGTTGTGTATTAGGGGGTAGTGATATTCTGTTTTTTTGTCAAATTCGATTTTCCTTAGTGCTAAAAAGATGCCCAATATGCTCCTGAACACTAAACTTTTTAAAAAATTGAAATCGGTCATTGTCTTCAGGTCGCGGATCGGAAAAAAACGTTTTAATAGGCGGGAGGGGAGGGGGTGTTCGTAACTTTTGCGAAACAATGCTCTGCACCGTTGTTTTCGTCATATAAATGATTTTATTATGGCAAGTTGGCGTTCAGTTAATACCCATCATCAATCACCACTGGCATGACTTCACTGGACAGGAAAGCACACACAGTAACGTGTTCAAACATGCGCGACACGTTGCCCGAGCCACGACATAGCAGGTCAGGAACGTGTGAAAACCTGCACGATACACCGCAACACAACTCGGCCGAGCGCCCGAGCATGTTATATTGCTCATTATCAAGATTATTGTGTAGCTGTCGACACGTGTACTGTGTTGAGCGCTTCTGTGATATCAAGATGTCTTTCAATCTGCGATCTTCGGATACTGAATGTACAATTTTTGGGACACCACAACCGTTATCGTTTGTAATGCTGCCTACCTACGAGGATATCATGAAACATTATTTATTTATCACTAATGAGATGAAAAAAACATGCAAGAAGAGCCCTTCAATGAAGTTGATCCGCGGAAAAATTGTTAAAAACGTAGTTGAAATATGGGCTAAAGCTTCGATTCCTACTGTGTCCGTTCAACTTGTTGAATCGATGTTTTCGACGTTTTACGAAAAGTATAAAAATGCTAAGAAAAGTTTCGGATCTAAAGCTCATACAACTGAGAACAATAAGGATAAAAGTAAAACAGCGTTGCTTGAAATGGCGCAACAGTTATTTGATATAGCTGCATGTAAGTGCCCTGAACCGAAATTTTACAAGTGTCCGACTTTTAAGAAGATTCCGTTTCTCGAATTAAAATTTATGGAAGATCAGCGAAGCGTTCGTAAAATGGGAATCGGAGGAGTTGATCAAAAAGAAACAAAAAATATGAGAGACAAAGAGGAGCGGAAAATTAAACGGATCTCTCGGTCAAAAAGTCTACAAACTATCAAAAATATTCAAGTTGAATCTACACCAATTTTTTCTCCTGAATCGGAATCAGGTCAAGACTCAGATAGTGAAACGGACGAATGGTGTCCCCAAAAACGCTCATTATCATTGGAATCGAGTTACTATAATTGCAAAAAACTTAAGAACGCAGCTGTAGCAGCTGATCGTTTTGGAGTGTCCAGCGGCGTGGCAGCAGCAATTATATCTGGAGCTTTGCAGGATTATAAACTGGTCACTGGCAGTGATTCCAGTTTGCTTGTTGATAAAAGTAAACTTAATAGACAGAGGTCAAAGATAAGAACTGAAAAACGAGAAGAAGCGTCAATATCACTCCAGACTAACACAGTGACAGCAATATATTTTGATGGGAAAAAGGATGAGACTAAAACCGTTGATAAAACCTTAGATAAGAGTCGCACAATCAGTAAAATTGAAGAGCACATATCTGTGTTATCCCAACCAAACGACGAATATTTAACGCATTTAACGCCGGCTGGTGGAACAGGGGAACAAATCGCAAGTGTTTTATTTGAATATTTGCAGAACCTACCTGCATTGGATTTGCGCGCCGTTGGATGTGACGGAACCAACGTCAACACAGGTTGTAAGGCAGGAGCAATCGCATTACTAGAGAAAAATTAGGATATCCAGTGCAAAGTTTCATTTGCTTGCTTCATGGCAATGAACTTCCCCTTCGACATATGTTTCAAAATATTGATGGATCAACGACTGGGCGTCTGGGCCAACATCTTTCAGCGGCCCCATCGGAAAATCGCTTGTGCGCTGCTTAAGTCTTCAGGTAGTACAATTTCAAAAAATCGATGTGGAAATTCCAAATTTTGATTCGAAACTTTTGAGCACAGATCAAAAGTACTTAATTGATATTGCCCACGCAATCAAGTCTGGTCATTGCCCAGACAATTTGGCATCGAGGGATCCTGGACCGCTAAACCATTCGCGCTGGGTGACAACGGGTAACAGACTAATGAGAGTTTATATTGGAACAATGAATCCATCTGTTGAGTTAGTTACCTTAGTAGAGTTTGTCATGAAAGTATATGTACCGATGTGGTTTACCATTAGAAAAGAGCCCTCGTGTACTAATGGAAGCAGACACATAATGAAGCAAATAACACTCTCGTCGTACTTACCAACAAAATACAAGGTCATCGTTCAATAAGTAATACAGCAAAATGCTTACTTTCTGCATCCAGAAAATGTTTTAATTTGTATGGTAACTGATAACGATCCTGAGATCTGAAAACGGGGATTGGAATTAGTGTTGTTAAGCAGGGAGACCGCCAAAAAGAAGGAAAAATTCGTCCATTCCGTGTTCCAAAAATAAATTTTGAAGCGACGCACTACTCGGAACTCATAAGTTGGGATGAAATCGATTTAACTACTCCACCTGCGATGAACAACTTTTCTACATCAGAACTTGCGGATTATTTCAATCAGAATGAAGTGCCTCAATTGCCAATTTTAGACTATCCATGCCATACACAAAGCGTTGAGCGTATTGTTCAAGAAGTTAGCAAAGCTTCTAAGATGGTTTGCGGATTTGAAGCACGCGATGGCCTAATTCTGAGTAAAATAAGTCATAGGAAGCTCATGCCCAGTCTTCGCACTAAGGCAGATTACAAGATTTCTACGGAAGAAAAATCCATTGTGTAAAGTGCAAGTATATTAATTTGTTAATTGTATTATGCCTATTGCGCTTTGTTGGTAGGGAAGAAGGGGAGGGTGGCAAGACTTCACATGACTTCAAAGAACTTATGAACTTACAGCAATCTATCAACAAAAAATATTTAGAATGTAAAAACTGTAATCAAAGAAATGAACATGTGGTACAGGTAGATCTGAAACTCACAAACAAAATTTTGATACTTAAAATAGAGTTAGATAACATTACATCAATGTTCTCGAACTGTAAGATAAAATCAGTACCAACAGCGAAGGTAAAAATTCACAACCGTTTGTATAGAGTTCAGAGTGCCATCTTTTTTAATAACACAACAACATCAGGAGAATATAGTATAATGGTACGAGATAATATGAACGGTTGGTTTCTCATTAACAATGAAAATGTGGAGAAAAGACCATGGCCGAACAATTCAAAAAATGCTCACATATTAGTATTAGAAGAGAAATAATATACAGGGTGATCCATTTAAGTGGGTACACTAATTATCTAGAAAAGTATTAACTTTTTTTGAATTTTTTTTTTTTAAACTTCTAGGTTTATGTTTTTCTAAAACCGTATAATATTTTAATTTTTTTCACCCTTATATTTATTAGTGAAACCACTAACAACTTTTGATTTTCAAATGGTAACATATAATAAAAATATCATGAATTAATAATATCATTTTTATTGTGAATTTACGCGTTAACATTTTTATTTTTCGATGATTCGTTTGCGAGGTACAGCTCCTCAAAATATTGGTGGTTTTCAAAATATTTTCAATAATTGTAAAGACCAGGAGCTAATCATAAATTTGATATCGTTGAACCCAAGGTGACAAAATAAATAACAATTAATTATAGATTACCATTGTACTTTGAACCCTAATCATTTCTTAACTTATCGACTAATTGGATATACCGAATTACCAATGAATGATAAATAAAAACTGGAAATATATCATGACAAATTTATTTTAATCACAATTTCACAGATAATTATTTAAAAATTAAAATGGTATCACCACATAATTATATCTTATTACCACTAATGACTAAGGTATACCTTGATAAGTCCGTGACTGGTAATATGATTATAATATTATGCAGAAAGTAAATAATAAATACCCATATTTAGGTGATAATGCACAATTGCACGATTTAAGATAGTCCTATCAATTATCTTAAATAATATTGCTCAATGTTCTGTGATATTGTGAATGATATGAATGTTGTATAATATTGTATGATAATAGTAGAAAATGAAATAGAATAATACTATAATAGGTGTTATAATTTTACAGCACTATTTAAGAATTTAATTAATTAATTACCTATCTAAAATCGTGTCTTACAGTTACACTATTTGAAAATCTTATAACTTTTTTTTTTATTGTACAAAAACTAATATTAAATTAATGTAGTGATATTAATATATTATTTGATTAACAATCAAATCGGAATCCCAAGAGTCCAAGACCATTAATTAATAAGGATTTGAAAGAAAAAATGTATGAAGATCCAACTACATAAAATTCTTGGATTATTTATTTTTAATATGTGTTCAAAATGTTGACCATTTTGTGACATACAAAATGTCATACGTTTTAAGACATTTTTTCATAATATCAGAAACAGCATTCTTCACAAATCCCCCCCCCCCAAACAAAAAAATCCAAAGGTGTCACGTCTGGACTACGTGCTGGCCATTGAATTTTCTGGACTTCAGGTACCCATCCAGTTATCTTAAAAATACAATTTAAATTAAATGTAATACTTATTTGTATAAATTGTATCCATAACATATTGGGTTAATGTAAATAAATACCTATATGAATATAAATGAGAAGAAAATTGTGTAACTTTAAATATTATATGCATAAAATCAAAATTTTTATAAGTAGCAATCAAACAAAATATGATGATAATGATAATTACCTCCGTAAATGTTGTTTAAATAGTCCTGAAACTGCCGGCAGTTATGGGCCGGAGCACCATCTTGTAAGCTTATGTAAGAATAGGATCTCTAGGTGGGGCTATTCGTTTGAAAACCGAAATTTTTTTTTTCTAACTGAAGGTATACCTTGATCCTTAATTAACTTACTGTTACCTATTTTTTCAGTTAAATTGGTTATAATAACCAAAATATTGGTTGTATTTGAAAATGTATACCTATTTTTTAAATTGTCAAATAAAAATCAATTACAAAAAAATATAGTATAATAAAAATCAATAGGTATGGTACAGTTTTAAAGTTTACAATACAGTATACACACATATAAATACTAAACAAATAAACACCAATATCTTATAAAAATAAATTATTGAGTTTGATGTCTTATAATACTGTCCAGTACAAAATTTGAAGACAATAATTTTTAAATTGATTTTGTGGTTTAAACGATATTTCAATATGTACAAATATACTTAATAGCTTTAAAACATAGTAAGCGACTAATAAAAAATTACATAGTAAATGATACAATTTTTTTTAATCACACAATATAATACAGGTATATGCTGACATTAATTTCAGATGGTTTATGATAAATTGACTAGGCTCATTACCCATTTGTAAAATCTCTTCAGAGGCGCATATAATTAGCTACCTAAGAAATTGTTTTATATACCTTATTATTTATTTAAATTAAAGCATATTCAGCACACCCCTATGATACAACTGACAAAAGTTTAAAAATGTAACTAATTCTATATAAAATGGGGTGATTAGAGCCATATTTAAAATGTTATTTTCACAATTTAACAATTTTTTATTGAATATATTTTTTCAATACAATATTAATTTAAAATTTTACTTTAACTTGTAGGTCTTGTTTTTATGATTTACCTTCTAATAGGTGATTTTTTTTTTCAATTACCATTCAAAACTATTTCACATTAGTTTTGAATTAATTGTAGCAAGTTAATAATCATAATTTTAAATATACATAATATATGGTACCTAACCTATAAGTACACATCTAGCATATTGTAATTTTAAATGCATACTAATTGTACAACTTTTTTTCAATTACCTATATTCTTTAATTATAAACAACTTAATTCAAAATTGGAAATTCCACATATTACCCCATTTTATATTTATAATATTGTGAACCACTTAAATAATTTAATAGTGAAAGACTATGAATAGTTAAATATTTCAAATTTAAATTTATATAATATTATGTTTTTTTAACAATACAATAATTATGAATATTGTTACAAACAATAAGGTAATATGTAAAAAACAACTTAGCTATTTCAATATGTCGTGACTGAAATCACCCCATTTTATATTTCTATTATTATGAACCACTATAAAAGGCATTTGTATAGCAGGTGATCTACCAATTTACTAGAAGTGATCTACTACAAGATTTAGGTACCTATAATAATATGTACATTGTACATACCTATTAGGTTTAAAATATATTTCACCATTAATTATTAAGTTGATTAGTGCTACTATATGAAAATTATATTTCTATTATTATCAAAATCAGGCGTACCTACATTATCATAATAGTAATACATTTTGGCTTAAATTGAGAAGTATGTAATAAGTAATAACTAAAAAAATAATTAATAGGTAAATAATAAAGGAGTAGAAGCGCACTTGATCGACTTTACAATTACTACTATGAAAGAAATGCATATTTATAAAATTTGATAGAGCACCTGCTAGATAAACACCCTTCAAAAATGTTACCATAATATTTAAAAGTTCAGGGCTATGATAAATCTATTCCAAATTAAATGATACAGTTAGATCAAAATATTCGTTATGCAGTAATGCAAAATATGAGTTAAGATCATAACATGTATTCAAAAAAATTGAAACAAACTCAACTTAACCCCTAACTTAAAAAAATACAGTAAAATTTAAAAGTGGGACTAATAATATTTTAACGTGGTGGTAATAAATAGCTAACAACACCAATCAAACAGAAGAACTATTCAGTTGCAAAACACTAAAACAATATACTTTTAAATAAAAATATTTTTATGATACATAAATATTAGGATTAAGACATACCTACCTAATATTATAACAAAGTAGTTATTTAAATACAATATTTAATAATACCATGTATAATAATGAAGGTGAGTAATTTATAATTCTTTTTTTAATTTTCTAGAAACATACATTTTACCACCCATTTAAGTATCAATGATTGATTGATGTTGTTAGCTAAATTAACTTAATTATATAATATTTGTTAAAATTCAAAAAAAAAAAAAAAAAAAACATTAGCATGTACCTACTATTCATTTAACCTTACACTGCGCGAATTAAATTTAAGGTCTTATTTTTTCGCGGAAAAATTTGTGCACCTGTAATTATGGTTATAGAACATAGAATAAATATTTTTTTTTGAAAATTATTTTTTTTTTAACTCGTATACATTTTTTGAAAAATGTATCACCTATGATACATCGCGCGTTTAACACATAAAAAAATTTTTTTTCGAATAATAAACCTTTATTTATTCTTAAGTCTCAACAATATTATGTTGTGATAGGAATTGTAAAATGCGCATAAAAAACAATATTCAAAAACAAATTTATACATAAAAAAAAAAAATATAAATATCAACATTTTTAAGATACTTATAAATTATTAAATGAAATTAAAAAATAGATTGCACTGCTTAAGTTATAAAATATAAATAACTAAATAACAATAAAATGTTATAATAATAATAGTTAACTGGTCATATTTAGAATATGAATAAAAATAACATTACTATAGTAACACTTATAAATTATTTAATAAAATTTAAAAAAATTGCACTCTTCAAGTTATAAAACGTAATTAGGAACTACTTGTTTTACCTAATTAGGAACAAAAAAATGTTTTGTTATTTAGTATGAAAATCTTTAAAACAATTTCTGTTGACACCGCAACAAAAATACTTATCACATTTAGTACAAGTGCATTGTGTTAGTTTTCCACATTTTTCATACTTGCACCGTTGCCTTGATTCTTTATATTCTGGCCAATGATGTAAACCATCTGTTCTGATATCTTCAGGTGTTATTGAATGAGTATGTTGTTTAGGTATTTTTAACTGTTCTCTTTCTTCATTAGATGGTCTGCCTCTTTTTGGAGTAGATACAGACGTTGTTAATGAAAATGCAACTTCTGTTCGAAAATCAAATAAACTTAATTTTGGTACTCTACCATTTTCATTTTCCACTCGTCTATAGAGTAACCATGCATTAACGATTGATATATCAATGAGGTGATACCAGACCCTCATGTACCACTTTTTTGTCCGTATTTTAATTTTATAACGCCCAATCAAAGAATCAAGGAGATCAACACCTCCCATATGGCGGTTGTATTCTTTAATTATAGAAGGGCACTTTACTTCCATATTTCTTTTGGATTTTTTATCAAATCGATTGATTGACATTTCAGGTAATATGCCACAATAAGATGAAAGAAGTGTCACCAGTTTATTATCTTTCCATATGACTGAAGTTATTGGAACGTTGTTAAATACAGTTAAATATTCGTATGAAGTTCCCCTAGGTTCTTTAAGCATTATTTTTTCAGATGGAAACTTACAATTGGCAATTCGGTTTCTACGAACAGTTCCGAGTGTTAAAACACCTTTTTTTGCCATGTATTGTACAAGTGGTATGGTAGTGTAGTAATTATCAAAGTAGAGTCTGTGGTTTTTTTTTTTTCCGGAATTATTCTACTGAGTCTTACAACAACATTGGCACTAGCCATCAAATCAGGTTCAGTGTTAAGTCTAAATTTCTCAAAATTTTCTTGACCAGTGTATAATTCAAAGTTGTATGCATATCCTTTACTACTACATAAAACAAAAAACTTATATCCCCACTTATGTGGTTTTAAAGGTAAATATTGTTTTAAATAGCTGCGTGCTTTTGTGGCACACAGTTGCTCATCTATAGCTAAATCTCTTTCAAGAGGAATGCTAGAAAACTGTTTATTTAAATGATCAAATATAGGTCTGAGCTTATGACATCTATCGTGGTCCTCATGATTTCTTGGGAGAGCTGTATCATTATCATTAAAATAAATAATGCTCTTTATTTGTTCAAAACGTTTCTGCCCCATGGTACACTTTATAGGAGGATATCCGACTCTAGAGCTCCAATACTTCCTAACATTAGCAATTTGAACAATAGATGTAAATATTGTTATTCCAATATACTGTTTTAACTCATTTGTAGTAAAAGTTATGGGTTTGTTAATATTTTTTTGAACTGAATATTTAATTGATTCAGATTGTATATGTGAATATAGGTCGTCGTTAAAAAAATATGAAAAAAAGTCAATTGGTGTTTTCAATTTTGATATTTCAGTAGGAAGTGGAATAGGTTCAAAGTTTAAAAACTGGGAATCAGGACAAAAATTGGCTTCTCTCCATTCTAGTTTTGATAATTCAGATTTCAAATATTTTTGACTATTTATTTGTCTATTTTTTTCCTGGCTTTGAGTAGTACGATTATTTATAAAAAAACTTCTATCATTATTCACATTATCATCATTATTCATATCTGATATTAGATTATCATCAATATTGACATCAAGTATCAAATCATCATCAATAAAAATAGGTAAATTGTTTATATCTAAGTTTTCATTTTCTACTTGTAAATCTGGTGGATTCACATGTTCCTGCAGCTCTTGATATTCATCTTGGAAAACCAATGGTGTTGTGTCATCATCTATATGTTTCATAACATCATCTAAAAACAATTATTCATAAATTAAAAGTTAAAATAAAATCATATACCAAAATAAAATACATACTCAAATCAAATTCCACATCTGAACAATCCAAGTCATCATCACTAATATCAAAATTCATCAAATCAATTATTTGAGAGTCACTCAAAATATTTTTTGCCATCTTAAACCTTCAAAATTAATACTTAAATTAGACTATAATGTAACATTTACAATATTTTAAATAAAAGTTAAAGATATTAGTAAAAACCACTTCATGCACACGTTTTTACTATCAATACTATTAATATAGTTTTATAGTAATGTAATAACTATTTTCATTTATTTATTATATGCTATAAACATATCAATGAATATTACTATACGGTTCTATCACAAAATAGATTTAAGGTTCTATCAAAACAAAATATAAAAATACAATTTATTATAATTATCTGTGTATCACCCATGATACATTTGCTCATTAGCGGTTGTCATTTGAATTATGATACAAAAGTCATAAAGGCGCTATGTATCGTGGGTGATACACTTGAAAGTATGGATAAATAAGGATACTTACTGTTATATAACGTATGTTCGATGCATAAAAATAATCTGTAGAACATTTTTAATCAAATAACATTTTTCAAAAACAAAATAACCCACGATATTAATGTTAAACGTGACTAAGAAGTATTGGTTTTTGATACTTTTCTTATCAAATTCAATCACGTTATTTTCACTATTATCTTTCCAGGGAGATTGTAAAAACACTATTAGAACTCATTGAAAACTTGTTTTATCGATGATGAGTATAAAATCGCATATCTATTAACAATAAAACAGCTGCTCTATAAGCATTTACTGAATGTATCACCAGTGATACATCACGCAGTGTAGGGTTAACATATTTTTAGTTTACTATATTATTGGGATTAAGTTTTTTCTGGAATGCAGATTGTCAGACTTGATTTTTAATCTTCTTTGAAATTAACTTGAGTAGTTGAGTATTTACTACCTAATAAATTAAAAAAGGATAAATATAACCAGATTATTTAACGGTAAAATAATATGTTTACGAGTACATACTTAATTCATTTTGTAGTCTCTCCCAACTATTAAAATAGTAAATGGGAAACAAAATTTTCATTTGTCATTGTTCTCGTTTGGAAAATGTAATGGAAGATAGAAAATTATGTGATTTCAATATCTATCTCCAAATCATTTGGCCAAGTATATTTGTAGTAAATACAGATCAACTTAGTTCTCAACAATAATTACTATGCCAGAATGTAAAATTTGAATATATGCAACTTATAAGTACTTCTGAACAGAGAACATTATATTTTTAAGTATGTATATGATGTAGATAGGCAACCATCTTGTTGTGTCCAAGTAGATGGTAATAAGTAAATGAATAATATATGAAGTTGTATTAGGTTTGTGCTATGGTGTATTGGTGTCGGCCAATAATTTTAAGAGTATAACAAATTTTGTGTTATCAAACTTTGAATAACATTTATTGGTGGTGTAACTGAATGAACAAAACTGATTTAACTGAAAATAAAATTTAAATAAAAACTGTTAAGACGTCATAATAATGTATAATAATGTATGTTGTATGTACAAATTAATGTATTAATCATAACAATTTTTCTACGTATACATTTTAAGAAAACTTACCAATAAACTTAATGTAGGTAAGTACAAATGTTGTGCTTTCCAAGTGGTTAGTATTCATGTATTATCAAGTTTACATCACACTTCATAATATAAACTTAAATACATATATTTTTGATTGAAATATCAAATAAAATACATAAATATATTATCCCAAATTACGACTTAGGTATAATGTAATTTTAAGTTCAATGGAATATTTTTGACAAACTTAATGATTCAACAACTACCTATTTTGTTAGGTATATTATGCTATTAAAGAAATTTAAACTGTCTGTCTACTTATAACGGTTTACAACATAAACTAACTATACATATGTATAGTTCAATTATTAATTACATTATACATTTAATATTTAACTATTTAAGTAATAGTGCTATGCTGCATGGCCACATGGTTTAGTATTTTACTTTACAAGTTTTAAAGTTCATTATCAGTATTCAGTTTATTACAACCGATTGATTTTTCTGTACCATTATCATTAATTTATTAATATGATATAATATTTTAATCAATTCTATTATCTTATAAGACCGTGGTCATAGCATTGAACTATATAATAACTGGAACGCTCACCACACAGTGTGGCCCGAGCGAGGATGTTAAAAAGAGATAGCGTATATATTAGGAGTATCTATCCTTGTTTAACATACGGCGCCAAAGCACAATTTTATTTTATATCGCTATTTATGCGGCTTGACGCTTGAATCATAATTATTGAACTACGAGATATTTATTTTCAATAAAAATATACGTATATATACATATAATACGATGCATATTTGGATTAATTAGCATTAAATCTTACCTGCATTCGGAAATTAAACTGTCCGCTTGATAAATTGACAACCAATTAATATTTTTTTTAGCAATAAAACTCTGTTGTTGATATATTTAAATTATTTACTTATTTATTTATTTAAAAAATGTAATATACAGAAACAGAATGAAATACAATTAATGTCTAAAATATTAAATACCTAACTATATATTTGTTTTTCCATTCAAAATGTATTAGTTTTTATGAAAAAATGTTAAATGTAATAATTAATAATATTATATAAAATATTTGCTGTACTGGGGGGGGGGAGATAGGAAGATAAAGAATTTGAAAAAAATTCATTTTCGGCAGGTGTTTGGTGCTGAAGAGGGATTATGGTTAAGTCGGGTTTATGATTAAAATCTTAAAATTACAAATTAAATTGTTTAGCATTTATTTATAGATGATGCATGTTAGAAAATAATTTAGGCTCATATATAAAAATGTCAGGGAGTCACAACCTCCCCCCTAGTTTTGCCCCTGGTATTTATGATACAAAACCTCCCCAAAATTGTATTCTATGTTCCACACTGCCTGGAAGGATTTGTATATTCTTCTTCTTTCCTGTAACATAAAATACAATTTAAATTTGATTGAAACAAAATAATAGGTACATTACTTCTTCTTCTTCTTTCCTGATTTCTAGGTTTAGCACTGCCTCTAAGGATTTGTATCTTCATCCTGACATTTTTCTTGTAATATAATAAACAATTTAAATTTGATTGAAATAAAATAATACATTACTTCTTCCTCTTCTTTCCTGATTAATATACAAAGTTAAATAATTTATATAATTATATAGGGGCCTATAACTTAAATTAATAGTACAATAAATATAATTACTTAATAATCAACCACAATTAACATTAATACTAACTTGTGAAATATTAACTCAGTTTTAATATCACTTGAACTGGAACAGTTAAACGCACTACAAAAATTCACCATTGTACCTATAGACTAGAATATAGGTAGGTACACGTCAATTCTATCAGAAAGCACAAAAAACTGAAATTGACGGACGTCGATCACAAAATTCACAAATCACAATATATTTTATGCCGGTAAACATTGAAAATGAATACAGTACGGCGTGTTATCAATAAAGACAGAGATAGAAATACCTAAAGTATTCGCCATCTCTTTCTAACACACTCGCTCGGTTTTATTTACATTAGTCATATGGGCGGTGAGCGTTCCAGTTATTATATAGTTCAATGGGTCATAGATAATGATAAAGGTATCGCCAAATATCGGTAATAGTAATAAGATTATTATTGTTCTATGGTAATATGGAGGGGATCTGGTGCGACAGCCAATGTCAACAAAACGTAGCATTGGTCAAATTAGCATATAGGTGTAATGTACATTCAATTAATCAGGTTCAAAGTACAACAATTATCAATATGTTTAATGTTAGGTACCGTAGGTAGTTAGGTCGAACCATAGAATAATATAGAAGCGACACTCGCCCCTCCACTTTAATTGTTTTTATTTCGTGGCGGACTGATTGATGTTGTAAGCTTGGCGGTAAGGCATGATGTTAGGATCCAGCCCTCCAAAGTTTAAAAAAAAGGTCACTTCATAGTACTATCTTAGATTAAATAACCATATAATATATATTTTATAGTACATAAGTACATAATTATATAATAATAATGTTATAATGACTATGTACCTATATTGTTTTATGATACTACCATACATATTATAGAAACATATTTATAAAAAGCCATATTCGAGGCAAAAAAAAAAAAAACCATAAATACATTAAGAAAAAAGTAGTTTTTATGCAAAACCAGATTTCAACAAAAATCGGGTTTTTATCTAGTTCCCTGATATTTTTTTCTTCTAAGGGAGGCACTCAAAATCGTTTGCCAGGAACGCCAAAGTAGTGCCTGTCTTTTTATGTTTATGGGTCACACTGTTAACTAAAAAATGCAATGGTTTGTTTTGTCAACATTGCGGATTTCCGCTGCGGTTTCGATGACACACGTTTTGTACTCTGATCTGAACGGTTGTCTTTTACGCCTTTTGATTATATACACGTGTTTTTTTGCATTTTTTTCTAAACTTGTTTTTTTTTTTTGTAATTTTACAAAATGCCCAACGTTTGTGTTATTTGCAAAAAGAAGGAAGGACAACACCAGGTGACTTTTCATCGTTTTCCTAAAGTTGAAAACTTGTAAGTATATTTAAATTAGTTTAACTGCAGGCTAACTCCAGTGCTTGTTTTTTTTTCCAAAATATTTGTTATTTTCTGTTTCCCTTTTCATTAGTCTTTTATGTTATTTTATTTCTAATTAAAATGTTTTAAAATTTAGGTGTAATATTTGGATTCAAAATATTGGCTTGAATGATAAGCTCAGACTTTTTCAAAAAAGAATCTGCTCTGAACATTTTGATTCTGCTTCTTATTTACCTAATACAAATAGATTAAAATTAATTGCGGCTCCAAAAATGGCTAATTCTGTTGAAATAAACAGTAAATTGATTGAGGTACCAAAATGTGCTACTCCTCAGCCTTTTGTACATATATCTGATGATCCTGATGTTACAAACAGTAAGAGTAAATGTTAAGATATGACAATTTTCAAGACATGTAGTTCCTCGCACAAAAAATAGAAAATTTCAAATTTTATGTAATTTATAAATATTTTTATGTATCTATTATTTTTTAATT